CCAAGTTATTTACCATAAACAAATAGGCTAATGAAGAGCCAAATAAAAAAAGACAATAAAGCTTGGTTCGATTGTGATCAATTTATCTAGGCAAAAAAATGAATACAAAGCATCTCACTTGTTCATATCTGGAGATGTAGCCTAAAAGCTAAACCTGAAAGGGGTTGGCATAATCAAAACAATCAATTCCAAAAAAGTCCTAACAATTGGTGTAGCATATAAAGTAAAGCTACAACTTGGTGTTTGTAAAAGTGAAGAATCCATTTAGGTAATTCCTCTAGATGATTATGGGCATTTTTTAGTTTTTTTTATTAGATAAATGCACTTGTTGTGTCTTTTGCTAATTATATTTGTAAGTGGGATGATCGATTTTCATGCATTGTGTTAGTGAGACAAGAATGAGGGTTAGAGGTAAAGGTGTTGTCTACCATACAACTTGCCAAAAGAATGAGCAAGAATGAAAACACATGTTTGATAGCCTTGAAGATGTATGGGTTTAGGTAGATTAGTGTTTACACTTTATTTGAAGTGTTAAAAGTGTTAAAGTCATTTAGAGACATGATGCCCTAGAATTGTCAAAAAAGCCAACACCAAAAAGAGAGATGGATCAAAAAGATAAAGTGGTGTTAAATGCCAAACCACCAGCCAATGCCTCATACCAAATGCCACCCCCGAAGTTGGAAGCATTATAAAGAGCTAAATGAGCTTATTGATACAGGAAACATTAGGCCATCAAAAGCCTCATTTGGTGCCCCACTTTTGTTTTAACTAAAGCATGAAGGGTCATTGTAACTATGCATATACTACTAGGCACTAAACAAGCTAACGATGATAAATAAGTATCCAAACTCGCTCATTGCAAATTTGCTCAACCAGCTTAAAAAAGCAAGGTGGTTCATCAAGTTAGACTTACAATCAAGATACTATTAGATTAAGATAGCAAAAGGGGATGAGCCTAAGACAAATTGTGTTACTTGCTATGATTTTTATGATTTCTTAATGATGCATTTTAGCTTTACCAATGCACTGGCAATATTTTTCATCTTAATGAATAAAGTATTGTAACTATTCATTAATAGATTTGTTATGCTTTATCTTGATGACATTGTAATTTACAACCGAACATTAAAAGAGTATGTGAAGCACCTTAGACAAGTGTTCCAAGAATTATGAGAGAATGATCTGTTCATAAAAAAGGAGAAATGCTTATTTGCCTAACAAAAGGTGCCATTTTTAGGCTATATTATTAAAAGTGGCAAGATCCGGATAGATAGGAATAAGGTGCAAGTCATACTAGATTAGAAGCCATTAACCAAGGTCACGAAGTTAAAATCATTCTTTAGGTTGGTGAATTACTATAGTCAATTCATTAAAGGCCATTTGACTATCATCACACCATTAACAGACATACTCAATAATAGAAGTGTGTGGGATTGGAGTTAAGAGTACCAATAAGCTTTTGATCGACTAAAGCATGTAGTGACAAAGGGGCTTATATCTATGCTAGCCTTGTCAAATCACACTAAGTCATATAAGGTGTATACAGATACATTTAACTTTGTAATTAAAAGGGTATTACTGTAAGAAGTTCATCCAGTTACATTTGAAAGCCAAGAGCTAAATGAAATTGAGCATAGATAAACGGTTTAGAAAAAAAAATGATAGCAATGGTGCATTATTTGTTCACATGGAGACATTACCTGCTAAGGTCTAAATTTATGGTTAAAATGGACAATGTTGCAACAAGCTACTTTTAGACTCAAAATAGGCTATCCCTCGAATAAGCTAAATGGCAGGATTTCTTTTATAGAGTTTGATTTTAGCATGGAGTACAAGCTTAGGAAGGTTAATGCAATAACTAATGCATTAATAGAAAGACAATGCTTGTTACCATCAACTAACCTAACGGTTCCCTATATAGCACATTAAAAAAGAGTTGGCCTATTATCCTATGCCAATATACTCATAGAACATGCACAACAAGGTAAAACAAGATGCTTTTTTGTTATAGGATGACTTACTTTACACCAAGGGAAACAAGTTATTCATGTTACAACATAACAAGCTCTGTAGGAAAGTTATGCAAGAATGCCATGATTCAAAGTGGGCTGGCCACCATAAAGACACTGTGTCTTAGCATGTAGGATCGATTCTATTGACATTAATGTATATGTGAAGATTTGTCTTCTGTGCCAACATTATAAAATGGAACTGAAGCCATTAGCCATCTTTAGGAGCCACTACTTATACTGAGGCACTCATGGGAAAGCATTTTTTAGATTTCATAATCAAAATACCCAAGGCAGACGGGTTTGAGATTTTTATGATAATGGGAATAAATTTTCCAAGTGTGTTACTTTCATTCCAGCAACCAAGGGGTGTATAATGAGGAGGCATCCTGTTTGTTCCTGAAGAATGTTGTGAAATACAAAAGCATACCATATATCATTGTTAATGATGGGACAGGCATTTTGTAAGGTGGTTCTGGACAGAGTTGTCCAAGTTGTTAGGGTCATGCTTGAATATTTTCACTAGCATACATCCACAAACTAATAGGTAAACCAAAAGAGTCAACAAATTGTTATAGTTCTACCTCAAGCACTATGTGTGTGCAACATAACAAGATTGGCCCAAGTTATGGGATATTGCCTAGTTTTCTTACAACTTATAGCAAAGTGAGATGACAAACCAAAGTTTGTTTGAGATAATGACAGGCCAACAACCACTTACTCTAGGAGCTATCGTAGTGGGCTACGTAGGACCAAATCTAACAGCATATAGGTTTGTCGAGGCTTGGCAAGAGCAAGTAGACCTTGCTAGAATATATCTACATAAAGTAGCTAATAATAGCAAAAAGTAGATAGATCAAAAGAAACGAGATGTGTAGTTCCAAGTTGGGAACTTGGTAATGGTAGAGTTGCACTTGGTGTTACTCTATAAAAGCTTGCATAAAGGCCTAGTCTAAAGGTATGAAAGACCTTTTAGAATGCTAAAAAAGGTAGGTAAGATAACCTACAAGCTAGAAATGCCATCGAAGCCCAAGTTACACTTAGTTTTTCGTGTCAACATGTTTAAACCATTCCATGAGGATTAGGAGGATCCAAGACAAGCAGTTCCACTAAGAGGATGTGATGAAGGCATTATAAGATCAAGTGAAAGAGAATGTCACAATCCATACAAGTGCACTTAAGGCGTAGGCATGACCAGCAGAATCAATAAAGGGGGTTTAGGCCCTAGGCACACAACAGGCATAAAATCTGCCTGCACTAACTCCCCAAGTCAAGAAAATTACTTCTAGAAGGACCCCAGCTGCACTGGTCTAAGTGTGGGCAAACTACACTCTAGTAGGCCTAAGTGCTTAAGAAACCTTCTATAAGACTAACCAGGTTAGGTAGTTCTCTGGAGAATTTGAACTCTTAATGTAATTTCATGTAATCTTTTTATAATCTTAGACTTTATAATAGCCATTGGATTGATTCAATTCCATTGATGTAAAAGGACTTCCCCACCCTTATTTGCGTATAAAATTACATAAGTATTACAAGTTAGAACATTTTCAACATCTCTTTCTTACTTTAAGGGTCTTTTATTTTATTTTATTTTATTTTTTGAGTACACATTCATCTAAGGTGATTTTAGATTGACTCAGGCATAAAAAGATAAGATTTTTAGCTTAAGACCACATGAAATTTCAACTAAAGTCCCAAGCCAATGACACAAGCTTTTACCTAATTACTTTTGTTAAAAAAAGTTCAAATGAAAATTAAACATATACTTGTAAAAGTTGAAGTAATTTCTATTTAAAAATGAAATTTAATCTTGAACATTGCTAGGCGTCAAAGTATCGGAGTTGGAATGCCTTTGAGCATGTCAAATTAGATGTCAGCTAAGCATGTAATTTGTTTGATATTGAAAGGTAAAATAAACCATAACTAACATTTCTTCGAGCAAAATAGAACTAAAATTTACGTTCAAGGTGGAATGTTAGATCACCTCCAAAAGAGCAGAGATTTTTATACTTCTAGTTTCTCCCATTTTGATAGCATTAAAAATGTAAAATTTTCGATGCTAGAAAAATTTCACAACCAAACTAAAGAATCTTATTACAAAAACTAAGATTTTGATAAAAATCATGCAGAATTCACACTGTTCACAATGCAAAAACTTTATTGTAGCAATTAAGAAAGTATTCTCCTTGGAGCGAAGAGTAACTTTTTTAGACAACCTTTTTTTCTAATTAGTAAATGTTGTAGTACGGTGAAAGAATTGAAGCCTTATTATAATTCTTTAATCAAATATTAATTGATTTAATTTAAAAAATTATACTTTTGGTACCTAATTTTGATAAAAGATATAAGTTTGTACCTAAAATGTTAATTATACTAAAAAAATACGTAAAATAGTATCAAAAATATAATTAATTCTTTTGTTATTAATTTGTGCATTTTCAGAAAGTTGAAGCATAAAAAAAATAATTTAAAATTAAATCAACAAATAATAGGGATTAGAAAGATTTGATCAATTCGTTGACTTTCATGAACGGTAAAATTCATCCTATCATTCTCTTAAACCATCCCAATATTACGTTCAATGAACCGTGCGCTCTTGAGCTCATTTATAAGTTTTGAGCGTTACAAAAGCCAACTTTTTGAAGACCAAGCATCTCGCGTGCCCAAGACCTATTTGGCTTGATCACATTACATCGAATATCTCATATCTCTCAGTTGGCAGATTTTAACTTTTATTCCCATTGCAAGTAAAAATAATGTAAAACCTATAAGCCCATATTTAAAGGCCGAAAAAAAGGGCCTATATTTAGGCATTGTAGTGCTGGATAACACTTATATGCTACATGTATATCCGAAGTTTCCATCTTTACACTAAATAAATAAATAAATATATATGTATATTTAGTCTACGCATACTAAAATATAGAATAAAAAAAGATATAAAAATTTAAAAAAAAAAAGAAAAACACTCATGCACGTATAATAATAAGATTAAGTAAGCATTAAGATATTATGTATGAATCCTTTATATGGTATCCCAATCCAACTAAAAGGTTCAATGATGGAGGATAATGCTGGTGCCGGATACCATTTATATTCTTCTCATTGTCATCCCTTCCCAATTCTCATATGGGTATTTAGAATTCAATACATACATATATATATATACTGTTTAACCAAATTGCAGGTAATACATTATTATTGCCAAGGATAAAGCTATGTGAGAGGCCACATGTGTTACAAATTCGCTTTCACATGCAATCTTTTACTCAACTCCTTAGCTACAGCTTCAATAAATTCCTCTGTATTTAGATACTGAGACCTAGTAACCCTGCACAAAACATCAGTTTACAGATACCTTACGTGCAGCAAAACTTTTAAAAGAAAATTCATTTTTAAACTTAGCAGCACGTACCTTGGTCCATAAATGAGTAGCGCAAGATCTTTAGTCATTTTCCCTGATTCAACTGTTCCAACACAGGCTGCTTCCAGTTTTTCAGTAAAATCTAGCAGTCGCCCATTGCCATCCAACCTTGCCCTGAAAATGTTATAGTACCTAATAAGCGTACATGTTTAAGTCTCAAGCAATATTAAAGATCCCCATGTTCTTAGGGAGTCTTTTAATATGGACATTCTTAGGATTTCTGGCTAGCTTTTCGAAGAAACTATATTTGAAGTTTAAACTGTGGCAATATAATTTCCCAGCGATCCGATCTGTCACCAATTTTGCAAATCAAAAGTTCCAATAAGGCATATTCCTTGGCTTTCATGCCTCGAACAGATGATGCAAAGTCAAGTTGTCAATCAAAGTCTAGGTGATCAACTATGTTGTTTGGCTGGTAAAAACATTTTTCTAAATGAGATTTGATGCTACCTATTGCAGAATTTGTCTTCTAACATTCAGTCAATGGACACAACGTTGTTAATGGAATTAAACCACGCCATTCTTGTGTTCTCATTTTGCTTGCTCCTACTGGAAGGTCCAGCATTAAAGCCGAATGATTTGCTGTATACATTTGACAACTTCATGATGAAGTTTGTCTCAATATTATTATTAGCAACAAAAGAAGATCTGATTTCAAGAATGAGGGTTGTTAATGTTCCATATTTGACCAGAGAGATTTCCTAAAGAAACTTACAAGAATATATATGGTAAAGGAACCCCTTACAAAATTTCACTTTATTCAAATATATTTTGGAGTTAGTACAAGATCTAGAGATTATCCCTATCTTTCATTTGGAAGACCTTACTGCTTACCAAGGATCTATGGAGGGGCATAACAACTTCTAGAAAAGCTACACCTTTGCCACAATTAAAATAGTAAGCTGAAGTTATGGAAGATGTAATCGACAACCAAATTGTATTTACCAACAACCAAGGTTTTCAGAAGTTCATCATCCAGTGGAAGATGCTATCAAAATCAGATTATACATGGATTATTGCAGCAGTATTTCAGATGCTTAATCTCAACCTATAATAACCATTTATGCCTTTCTCATACTAGGCTACAGGACCCAACCCTTTAAAAGTTTATAAGAGAACAAAGCATGTTCAAGTTTAGAAAAGAAAAAGCAAATGTTCACCTGGATGGAGAATAAAAAGTGCTTAGATAGGGTACTTCACTAAGCCAATAATCATCTATTATCGTTTCGTAGCATTGACTAGGTATTTTGAAAACTGTTGCCAAGGTCTTTCATTGTCTAGAAAACTTTCTTTGTATTATCTCACCCTTGAGAATAATAAGGATGGAGGACACTCTTTTGAATAACTTCATATTTAAGGGTCCATAAGTTGACAATGAAAATCCCAGCAATAAAAAAGTAGCACCTTAGTTGTAGGATATGAAGCTAGGACATGCTGAAGCTGTTGGGTACAGTAAAAAAAAATAAAATAATATATATATAGATAGATAGATAGATTCCAGACATGGCTTAGATATGAGGATTTATACCAGAATTCAAAACAAAATCAGGAATAAAACAGAAAGAACATGGATAACATCATTGGTGATAAAGCAATGGTTGTTGTGACACTGCTTTGATCAGAGATCACAAAGACAAATAGAAGAAAAGAATGGAAGAGGTGGCTAACATGGGTATCACAATCTTCATTTTGTTTGCATAATTGTGAATTGAACCTTAAATCAGCGAAGAAAAAAGAAAGGAAATAATGGAGGGCACTGGCTAGATGTGAAACAGATGAAGCTGAAGAGGAAAAGTTGGATTCATTTGGATGGAGGAAAGAGTGCTTGGCTGATGACAAAAATTAACTTGAATACTTAAAATAATTTTTTTCTGTTCAACAATAAAAAGTTGTCTTGAAGCCTGACCGGGTGGAAGAACTCAAGAAGTGTAGCAAGGAAAAGACATTACTAAACCTACAAATACAAGCTTAACTATACTATCAAAAAGGCAATTTGAAGTAAAAAGTAAAAGAACAAGGTTCTTCAATTCTATGTCTGTCCAAGCAATTGGATTTAAGCAATTGAAGAGGGATTATTCAGCATGGAAAGATTTCAGCATTAATTTTGCAGCATTAATGGCTGGTCAGCAAGGTGAATATCTATCCTATTCCATACATGATGGCTACCTATTTAAGGATACTCGCCTGCAATTTCCTAATACTTCATTAAGAAGTGAAGTAGTATTGCAGTTCCATTTTGGTGGGGCAGTGGGACATTTTGGACTTGACAAAACTATTTTCATTGTGGAGGACAGATTTTATTGGCCAAGTAACTACAGACGTAGCACGCATTAAACAATGCCATACTTGTAAATTTTGATGAAGTTCACTGGAAAATTAAAGTTAGCAACAAAAGCTACAAAGAGCAGATACACATCGAAGATATGCAAGATTTCAAAGAAGGTGAAATTGTTATGGTTCATATCTAACCAAAAAGATTTCATAGAAGTGCTTTCAAGAAACTAAATTCGAGAAACATAGATCCTTACAAATTTTAAAGAGAATCAGTTCTAATACCTATGTTTTAGAGTTACAACAAGATTTAGAGATTAATTAATGCAGCAAAGTAGTAAGTTAAACAAAGAGAATACCAATAGAAGAAACACTTTTGAGAGCAATTAAGAACTTTGTGGAATCACACAATTACTATAGCATCTCACCACATTGGAAAATAATATGGCTGAATATATTCTAAAAATAGATAAAAAAAAAAGTAAAACTCCAAAAGAAAGATTACACCCCTTTGTATAGGAGTCCTAAGGGAGCTAGTTCTTATTCAGTTTACAAATAAGGAATTGCTAGCTAGACTCCTTCACCCTCAAGTCTTCTTTAAGTATTCTTAATGATAAAGCAATACAAAAGAGAATCCATCATCCTTAAGTATTTTTAAGGTTGCTGTAATACAACACAGCTACTTGTCAAAATTCGCCTACACAACTTTTACTCAATAATACAAAATTGTTTTAGTAAGGCTTATTGTAAAGCAATACAAAATCGTTTTATCAACATAGCAAAGCTCCCAATTTGGGCCTTCTTCGTTTTCATGCCAGAAGAGAACTCATTTCCTCCTTTTAATAACTTTTTAAGGCTTATTGTATCCTCTATTATTAGTTCAATGTTTAATTTGGAAGATCTTACTACTTATCATGGTCCTAATGATGTCACAAAAGATGCCAAAAGGTTTGCACAACTACCACACCTTAAAGGGGACACTGAAGTAATTGAGAATGTTAATATGTTATAGATGACCAAATTATGTCTACCCCACATGGGGAGGGTTCCAAACCAAATAAAAAATCAATAAATAAATAAATAAGGAGGGTTTCAAACATAGTTATCAGAATTGAATCGGACATTAAACCGTTCAAGGTTTCGGGTCATTAAGTTAATGGTTCAACCACCTGATCAATAGGTTAATTGTCGATTCAATAAAAAATATTATAAAAAATAAAAATATTTTAAAATTCAAAATTCAAACTTTTAACTAAAGTTATAGTTTAATAATGCAACCATAACAATATAAATTTAAGGTATATATAAACTACAAATTTTAAAATATAAAATTCATAGAACAATTAATTACTAATTAGAAATGAAATTACTTAACATTTTATTAAAATCATATTTTATATTTTAATAGTTGGAAATAATATTTATATTTTAATAAATAATAAGTAATAAATAATTTTAAATAATTATTATTTATATTTATTAAAATATAAATATTATTTATTAATATATAATAATTAATCTTTATGTAATAAAAAAGAAATATCTATATATAAAATTAATAAAAACGAAATATTTATATCTATATGAAAATTAGTAAAAAGGAAATTAAAATCATTTTTATATTTTTTATATGAATGTAGACTTTTTTATTAATTTTACATATATGTATTTTCTTTTGTTTATTATTTTCGATCATGGTCAAATAATTAATCATTTTTATTAATATTTTATTTTTTATTAATTTTATTTATTATTGTTTTTATAATTATTTTTAATTATGGTATCAATTAATAAAACTGTTCGTTAGATTTTTTTTTTAAATTGATTATTTTTATACATGTATAAGTTTTTTTACAATATTATTATCCACGTATCTCAAAATATACCAACATATCATTAATATAAAGATGCAAGGGCTTTAATAGTAGAAAATAAGAATTAAAGGGCTTATTTGATGAAATAGTAGTATAGAGTTTAATTAGATTATTTTGAATACTTGAAGGGTTTTTTTCATATTTTACATAAACTTATTAGTTGATATTGAACCAATTAGGTTAAAAAAAAAAAAAAAAACTGCCTTGTTTACTGGTTTATTATGTAAACTATCGGTTCACAACGGTTTAAAGCGGTTTAATTACAAAACTGATCTAATTACGGAACCAAATAGGTTTCAACATCGATTCACCAGTTCACTCGATCGAACGATTGAACCGACAATCCAATCTAATTTTGATAACTATGATTCCAAAAGTTCCTCATCAATTAGAAGATGTGTCCAGAATCATATTACATATGGATTATTGTAAAAGAATTTCAGCAACTTAATTCCAACATGTATGGAAAGTGTATTGGCTTCCACCCAGTGCCATCAAGCCTAGGAGAGATGATAAGAGGTCCAATAAGCCTTCAAAAGTTTATAAAATAAATTCAGTTCTTATTTGTCAATTGAGTGAAGTTAAAATAAAGAAGGTTTAACTTGGTAACTTAACTAGGCTACTAATTATTACTTATTATCATAATTTTGTATTAGGAGTGGCTAGTGTCTATATGCATTTTAACGAGTAAATATTCTAGATTACCTAAGAATACTTAAAGATGAAGAATTCTCCTTTGTATTACTTCATTGTGTAGAAATCTGATTCTCTTACATTAGTGCAAATCTAATTCTCCTACATTAGTGCAGCTTGATTTCCTAATTTATTTTGGGAATATTTCTCATTTGCTCTTTTGATTTAGTCAACTATTCTGATTGTCAAGTTTTTAGGGATTTGTTTCTATTTTAGAATACAATAATTCTCCTTCATTTTATTATTTTTTATTTTTTATTTCATATAAGTTGTTTC